TGCCGCGCTGGCATCGGCGAAACGCTCGGCGTCAAAGTGCACCACATGCATCTGCGGCACAGCGGGGACCCCCTGAGCCCCAGCCCTGCCACCCCCAACCCCTCCCCGGCTCCCATCCTGCACCGCTGCCTGCACCCGTCCCAGCACCTCCGGCAGTGCCCAGACCTGCTGCCTGCTCCCACTCCTGTTTCCCACCCTTTTTTCCTTCTGCACCCCGTCCCCTCCCTGCACTCATTTCACATTTCACATCCCTGGACCCATTTCCGTCATCAGGACCCCTTTTCCATTCCCTGCAGGAAATTCCTGTAGTGCAAACCCATCTTCCACACTGTTCCCATGCTGCTTCCCACACTGACACCCCTTCCCACAATCATTTCCCACACAATTCTCATGCCATTTCTTGACCCCAGACCTGTTCCTGTCCTCCTTTCCCACCCCATTCCTCATCCATTTCCTGCCCCCAGACCCATTTTCGTAGGTGTTCCCCGGCCGGCCTGCAGAGCCCCCGTACCTCGGCAGGGGCGCGGTGCCCGTCCAGCAGGTGCTCAGCGCCAGCAGCGTGGCCAGGCCAGCCCCAGTGGAAGTGGAGCTGTACGGCAGTGAAGGTGTGGGGCAGCCCCCGGAGCCGCAGCGATGGTGGCAGTGCCAGCACGGCTGTGGGACAGGGGGTCAGCAGGGCTGGGACACCGGGGCCTCCCCCGTTTCTTCCCCCAGTGCTCACCGGTGTGGCCGTTGTTGGCGAGGCTCAGCCGGGGGCTCTCGGGGTGCTCGTAGCCCTCGGGCTGCAGCGGCGGCAGCGACAGGTCCGGCTGTGCCCACACCGTCGCGATGTCGATGGGTGACTGCGCCCGACCCCCACACTCTGGGTGTCCCTCGTGCCAGTGCTGCTGCCCATGGGGGCCTGGGGGGCACCAGAGTCCAGCTGGGACCCCCCAACCTCACCCTGGGGGCTGCTTCACCCCGCAGGGCCCCGTGACCCAAAGCGCCCTCGGTGCCCCCCAAACCGGGACACGGGTGACATTCCCAAGGGCCTCGTTAATCTGCTGGGGACATTTTTTCCAGCTGGGGGAGCTGGGACAAAGCCGAGCCCGCGGGGCCGGGGGGGCACCCATGGGTCCCCTGGGCCCGGCAGGATGGGGCTTAGCGGGATTTGGCCAAGGCCGGATCCTAATTGGATTTGGCAGCAGGAACCTTATGTAAAGGAGCACAAAGGGACCATTGGAGCGAGGGGGACAAGGGGGGGCAGGAAGGGGAAAATGGGGGGCTGCACC